GACATTTGACACCCGCATGGCTGCCGTCGGTGCTATGCACTCGTTTTCGACAAGTATTGCCTTCAAATTAACCTCGACTGAGAAGAACTCCGATTCGGCACACCTGCCGTGGCTCATAGCCCTCTACGATGCCCTTAACGACGATGACGACGAAGTCCGTGCCGCAGCCGCCGCGGTAGCAACACCTCTGCTATCGAACCAGCGCCTCATCTCCGTCGAAGCTGGACGGCGGCTATTGCATTGGCTACTAGCGCGCTACGGAGACAATGACGAGTTCAGAGCTCACGTTGCCTGCCGCATGGCTGGGAACCTTCCTTCCTCACCATCATCTTCCTATGTAGCACCAGAACAAGGCCCTACAAGCACTAACCCCTCGACCGCCAAACAACTCCTGGAAGGCTGGATCCCAGCCGAGGCTCAACTCACAGAAGCCATGCGCTTCGACGACTCGCTGTTCGTCATCGAGGAGCAGAACCTGTACGTGGACGAGGTCCGGGAAGCCCACCGATGGAGCAATATCTTCTCGTCTCTTCCCCAGCCATCTTCCTCCTCAGCAACAGCAGCGCTGTCGCAATGGTGTCTCTCCGGCCTGGAAACACTATCACGCATCGCGGCTGCAGAGGGCACAGACGGCCCGCTAGGCTGGACTTCGAAGCCCGAGGTTTTCGCTATCTGCGCGCGGATCCTGGTTAGTGGCACTGCGCTTGCGGCAGCTGGAGACGAACAGATTAGGGGTGCGGTAAGGCGGTTTAGGGATAAGGGTCGGCGGACGGAGGTAAGTGGGCTGTTGCTTGGTATGTGTGCTGGGTTGTATGAATGATACTTTAGATACCTAGGTAGCTATATTGGAAATGGGGTATGGTATGTATGTGTATGCCTAACGTAGAGTATGTATACACGCATTCATACAAATTCAACGTAAATTCTCACTATCTATTCGCCGCGACAACCTTTCTACTATTCTTTTAATGTCTAACCAAACTGACTTTGCTTGCTTGCTATTCGCTACTCTAAACATACAAAACACCCGAATGACTTCCTCATGTACTCGTGAACTCGTCTTATGTCGTAAGATCTCCAAGCAGGCTAGTAGTAGTAGTAGTAATAGTAATAGTAGTAGTAGTAGTAGTAGTAGTAGTAACCAAGGTAGCCTACCCGAGAATTACGAATAGCTCGATCGCCATCCTTACCGCCGATGTATCTCTCGCGCCGATATTCAAACTCGTCTTGTTGGTATTATGTGCGGTTTGCCTCCGTTTGTGTGGTACGTAGGCTAGGTAGTATATGCAAATTCCGTCCTCCTCCACGACGACAGGTATGTTATGCCATGTACAGCTCAATGAGTTCTTGTGGACAACGCAACTCTCCTTGCCCGAAATACAGAGACAGCCCGCGCAGGCGACGTTCCGCTCGGCTTACGAGCGCAGCGTACTCGCGTGTCTAGAATCTCGATCTGACATCTGAACCGTCATAGACCTCTTAATCCCGCTAAGGGAGCTCGAGCCGTCGCTATCATCCACGGTAATACCCTCGCGGCCCAGGCGCGCGACCAGCTTCGTGTTCTGGGCTTGCAGCTCGCCGATCTGTTCCTTTAGGATCTCCATCTGCTTGTGCGCAATATCGCGCTCGGCTCGCACCTTATCCAGCTCCATAGCCAAGGTGGTCTTTTCCTCGCGCTCGAGCGTCTTACGCCGGCGTTCCTCGGCCTTCTTCTGCTCGCTCGCGCGCTTCGCTTCTAGCTTCGTTATTTCTCGCTGGTACTTCTCTTGCTGCTTTGCTATCTCGCGCTCGTGCTTTTCGCGCAGCTTTTGCACCGCGGCTTCGTCACGCTGGGATGATTCCGTCTCTCCATTACCGCGCTTAGCGAGCGCCCGCTCTTGAGCCCGCCGCAGCTTCTCCTCCGTCTTTCGCTTGCGCTCCTCAAGTTTCTTAAGTTCTTTCTCGTGGTGTGACGGCGCTGTCGAGCGGGCCGCGAGCGATTCGCTTGAGACTGTAGATTCCGCGCCACCATTAGTTACTGAAGGTGTAAGCTGGGTTGAACTTTCTCCTGGCTTTTGTGATGCATTATCATTTTCGGCTATTCCCTCGCCCTCTAGACTGTGAAAGCTGTGGATAGATGATTCGTCGTCGTCCTGGTTTTCAGATGCGAGGTCCGACGTGTCTGCATCTTCACCGTTAACTGGACCAAAGGGATTAGGGATGCGTGAGGCTGCTGCAGAAGCTGCTGCATTCAAGGCATTTGCTATCATGCCGTAAACACCCACAGAGCCAGGCTGTTCCTCGATCTCTTCTGTCTGTTTAGTAGCTGATGGTCGCGGGGCCTTTGAGTGGTGAGTGGTATTTGATGTAGAATTCGCTATGACCGTTTTCTCAGAATCTACTCGCTCGGCATTAGATACCTTATGTTTAGGTTTCGCGTCTTCATTGTCGGATTCGGATTCGGCAAAGTCGTCGATGGACTTGGACGAGATCCATTTGACTAATTTGTTGGCATCGCCGGCAATACCTGGCGGCGTCCCCCTTTCAATCATGAATCGCGGAACACTGCCACCCGGGTCACTTCGAGTAACCATTAACCATTCGATCATGGTCTCGTAGTGGTCGTCCTCCTCTCGATCGTCTCCAACGTCGGCACTCCCAATAGTCTTCCCTCGTTTCCTTCCACCCTCGCTGTTGGTGGGATCAGCTGCTTGGCGGGCTGAACGGACAGTGGCTTCTCTGCTAAGGTTTTCGGTAGTTTTCCGCATCATTGCCGCAACCTCGTCATTAGGTAGGTCTATTGATGATCGGGTTTTCCGTAAAGGCTTTTCCACCCGAATTTCACGGATAAACTCGACAGACTCATACTGGCCTCGAATGTAGCCCTGCCGTGGCGGACATTCTGGGTGAACGCACGGTTTCGAGACGAGCATGAAGTGTCTATGCGTACCAGGAGCACCGGTGACCGACTCGGAGCTTAGTAGGAGACCTATAAAGTCTCGAGGTGCTGTTGGTCCGGGGAATTGAGCTGACAGTTGATAGACTAAAGTAATTGGTTAGCTCCATCAAGTCTTGAAGGCGGTAGTGGTAGTCGTAGTAGACGTACCCCGCATCTTGCCGATGTCTTCAACAGTTTGGTTGACGATCTTTCTATCAGCACCAATCCCTCTAATGCTCCCCGCGCCAGGTCCTCCTTCTATTTTTAAACTCTCATCAAACTCCTTCTCTAATCCCAATTTCCATTTCTCAAAGGTGAAGCCATCGTGGACGCTGCGTCTAGCAAACCAAGCACCCTTTCCGTCCTTAGCAGCCAGTTTATAAACATCCAATCCCAGTGGATTTTCGCGCGGGTTAATCTTGCATTCTTTCCATTCTTTTCTCAGTTGCGCCGTACGGTCTGATAGGTTCGAGTCTCTGTTGGGTAATGAGGTAAGATTCGTGTCAGTGGCTGACCGTGGCAAGCCCATATGTTGTAGGGACGAGGAGGATACCGGGATAGAATCGATTATGCATTGTGCGTCGGCGAATGCGTCTTTGAAGAAAGTATCAAGCTGGTCCTGGGGAACGTCGTCCCAATTGATAGGGCCGAGAGCCTTGAAGGCCTCGTGGGCACTCGGCATAATTGCTTATACCTTCAAGAGAACTGTAAAGGAAATACTTGGACTCGAAAGCAATCGTGGCTATTGTCAAGTTATCGATTCCATTCTGTGCCCAAGGCCAACAGTCGCTAAGTACAAGGATTACAAGAAGAAACAATGTTAATTCATAGGAATTATTAAAAGGAATTGGCTTGAATTAGGGAAAGGCGAATGCGAGGACTAAGATGAAAAGTGTATGGAGTTTTGTCGGCGGAAGCGAGAGGCTGAGCTCCAATATCCTTGACGTCACACATGCATCCATACCATCAGCCTCGACCCCTGAATTATCTTTGGTATTACATGTAGTATTATCTATTATTACATAAGGATGCAGCTGGCAGCAGTGTTACCCCAATTATGAGGTAGACCCCTTAGAATTAGCCTAGTTTAGCTAAGGTATTAGACTGCGTTAGGTCGATATTACATTAGGAAGCCTCTAAGCCGATTTACGGCTCTCAAAGCAAGAGGAAGCGACATAAGGAAATGATTAATTACACCAATTACATACGTCGTAAATCAACATTGCCCCATTACCACACCGTTAAAGTACCAGACATAGAGATCTCTTTGGTATAGACAGAGATCCACTCTTCGTATTAGACAGACTCTAGTGTGTACTTGATACATCACTCCAAACACACTTGCAGCGCATACATTAACACTCTTAGCTGATTTATGTGATACTTTAAGGATGTAGGTAAGAAGTCCCAGTGCTCTTTTAATCCATAAAACTCTAGTAGGAATATCTAGACTTGATTGGTATACTAAATATAAGATTCTAGACTCTAGAGTAGATAGCTTGCTGTGTAATGAGTTTATATCGTCTAGTAAGAGGCGATAGTAATGGTTGGTTGAATATCTCTTGCAGCATTCATCCTTTACATTGCTTAAAGAATATAGATAAGAGGCCAAGTTATAACGTTCATAATTGCTCTTCGACAGACCTCAGTTGTTAGCCAACGAGCTTTGGAGAAGAATATCCTGATAACCTACCCAAACCCCCTATAACTAGGGCATGTCGTCTATTGTTTAAGACTGTCTAAACTGAACAAACCGGAAGCAAAGGCTATAGAATAACTACCCCGTGATTCACTACTTAACTCCGATCATCATAGCATAGAATAGATCCCTACTTTTGAAGCAAGGAAATATCTCCCTAAAAACTCTATATCTTTATTTCAAGGTCGTACTTATCACCATACTACTCATACTATTTGGGCACAGCATCTAATAAAGAGCCCTCTAGCCAACCTCTCCTTGCGTAGGTATTTGTTGCCTTCTACTTAACTCGCAATCCTTATTTGACCCCCCTTTACTTTTCAACCTGACACTCACTCCAACACTGCGAACCTTCACAAGTTCAATAATCTTAAAACTCCAAATATGGCTGCACAGCACTCCTCGGAAGAAGAAATCTCACTTGAAGTCCCAGGGTCAACCAAGCCCGGCAAGACCTGGTACGAAATCATCGGTACTCTTAACACACCTCCTCTCATCGCGCTACACGGCGGTCCAGGTACCAGCCACGAGTAAATACCTGTCTCACTCACCGACCTGTACGAGCAGCACAGCATCCCAATTATATTCCACGACCAAATCGACTACGGCCGCTCCACACACTTCCGGGAGAAAGTGGGCGACACATCATTCTAGACCTTCGACCTCTTCATCCAAGAGCTCGACAGTCTCATCGACTACTTGCCACTGCATCTTTAGCCAGAGCTAAGGCGGCGCATATGCGTCGCGCCGGCCACAGGGGCTGAAGAAACTAGTGCTCGCGGGCGCGCCTGCAAGTATGCCTCTTTTCGCGGAGGCTGTCTGTCGCAAAGTCCTCGAGCTTCCCCCTGAGTGACTATGTAAGTTTCTCAAAGCATCCTATCTATACCTACACCTAACCTGACATATATCCCAAGGCAACGACCATCTAAATTCGTCGTCGTCGGCTCTTTCAAGGACTAGGAGGGCTGGAAAGGTGCTCATAACATCGAGGTAGAAACCTTGCTCCTAAACGGGCAATACGACGAGCCGGCGGACTTGTGTGTCGAGCCGTGGTTTAATAGTATTGCCAAGGTTCGATGGGCGACTCTTGAGAACGCAGCTCATATGAGCCATTGGGAGGCTCGAGAGCGATTTATGCAATTGTGTGGATATTGTCTCACGGGAGGTTCTAGTCGCTGATGAGGCATGATGTCTAAATTAACATGAATACCTATGTTGCAATAGTAGAATGGAGGTCCCAAATAATCAAATGCAAGGAAATTTACTATGTACCTAGGTATTTACGATTTTCAATCTTATTACCGAGTCCAATAAATCCCCTGAAATGTTTCTTAAGGTCTTCGCGCTGTACTAAACCAGTGGCAGTATCAACTGCGAATAGCGCTTTAATCGGCCGTTGCGGGGAGATTGAAATGAGAACCGTCGCATGTAAAGGGGAGCTAGAATGGAGATTCTACCCAAGGTCATCATTCATAGCGTACGTAATCCCTGAAAAGTTCCCCCAAAAGATCGTTGGAATATAAGCGATTTTGGTAATCCCACTTATAACAGCTCGGTTAGCTCAGTTGGTTAGAGCGTCGTACTAATATCTCCAATTCGGAAATATCAAGTAAATGCGAAGGTCATGAGTTCAACCCTCATACTGAGCACTCATCTTTTTGCATTTTTATTCAATTGCTTATCACTTATCAACCATAATATTTACCTACTCCGTGGTAAAACCAAAATTTTTTTGGCCTTATTCTTTTTGGAAGTGTGTACGGATACCGCCCGCCGTACGTAGAAATTTAAAATGTTCTCAAGTATAATTTTTATTCAGCACCCTGAAACCATTCATATAACCTCCTATATTCAAGCCCAACGGCGTATTCATTAGAGATCTATATATGCGAAGCAGAATAGTAATAATATATATTATATTACGCTTACGGGTATTCGTATTTCCAACCTAGACTTCTACTAAACAATCCCAAGTGATGATACCCAGTAGTGCTCCTCCCTCCATACAATATGGTACATGCCACTCCTCTCTCCCAATTAGGTACTTGTTTGTTTGTATACTCGCTCGCCTTGCTCCGTGAGAAGCCTCTATTCACAACCCACTTCACTCCCCCAATCATCTACTTCCAATTTATTCCCCTTCTTCCTTATCTACAACACCGCCGCAGCCAAGCTTAGGCTCTCCCTCTCCTCGAGTAGCGTCTTGCGATCCGCCCTGCAGCTACCGCAATACTCCTCATGCCACCTTTGCAAATTTCTTCTTTTCGCTTCATCTTTATCTTTGTCCTTGGCATCTCCGATATTACTATGCAGAACCTTCTGCGCCATCTCCCCCTTGAGCTTCCCTCCATCCGCCGAGTCGTTCCACGCTGCAAGAAGGATTTCCACCTGCTCGCAGCGGCGGTTCTCGTCTAGTAGCCAGTTCTCCCACTCGGCGTGCATCATCTCGCGCTCCACGCTGTTGACCGTGCGCATCGCAACTAGTAAGTCGTGCCGGTACCCGCCGAGCTTCTGTCTTGTCTGGCGCAGGCGGCGCGCCGTCGCGCGGCTCGAGCTCCATGATAACGATGACCCCGCGTACTCGTACGGCGCGTCCGCGTCGCTACTGTTAGCGATGGACTGGAATGTCGAGTAGCAGTAGCTGTCCTGCGGCCACGCGGGGAGGGCCTTGGAGCTTCTCGCCGCTTCGTCTAGGTCCGCTATGTAGATCGCTTTGCTCATCACAATGTTCGGGCCCACGCCGACTCGGTTCATGAAGCTGGCCGCGCGCCGTTCGGACCACCATGTTGATGTGCTTTGGGATGAAATTACTACGTTCGTAAGTATGCTGAACCCGAGCAAGGCTAGGATAAGCCGCTCTGCTGATACCACATCCCATAACTTCTTTATAGCTGCAAACGTCCACATCATCAGCGACGATGCAACACTATCGGCGAAGGACCTGATGGTTTCTAACAGCATCGAACCCAGTGTCCGCGGGTTAATTTGTGGCTTTCTCGACGTGCCGTTGTCTCCGGGCGTGAAGACCACAACCTGAGTTTGTAGGCCTATATGTCCGTAGACCTGGATAGCCCTCTTCGTACGACTGTGATGTCCGAGTTTTCGCACTTGATCCGTCGCAACTTCGGCAATATCTTCGGCATCCTGGCTGGCGTCGTCGAGCGCTTGCCGTTCGACTAGGTTCTTGGCAAGAGCTGGTGGTTTTGACCACACCACCTTCGTGAAGATAGCGAGCTTGCATTTTGACTTGGCGACATGAGTGATGACAATCTTGGTGACCAACTTAAAACTATGTGCATGAGGTAGATGCCATGGGCTTTTAACATGCGTAACCACATATGTGACGTGGTCGCTGAACACTTCGATTGTTTGCTCATCAGTGACTTCTTCGGCCCTTGACCGACCTAGCCTCGTAGTATAATTGACGCTAAAACGAAATTGCCTGTGCATATGTCCCGCCTCGTTTAATTTCCAAGGGCCTTGGGCGATATGCTGGGCCCTTCGCTCAAAGTAGAGCTTAGGAAAGACGAAGCTCTTATCTCCGAACAAGACGTGGAAGCATGCTTTAGCGCTAATTTCGAAGTTCCGCTCGGCAACCTTCTTCTGCATATCTTCGGGCTCGTAGATTACTGGATGGGTTGGGAGCTGGAACTTAGGAAGAGGCTTTCTCGCGCCTCTGCGTCGAGAGTTGTAAGCTGAGTTGTGATACCGGGGACTGATGGCCCTACCACCGGCAGTACCATCATCGATAGGAGTATGCTCTGAAATTTCTTCCCAACTATCTACGCTGGGGCTTCTTCTGTCCGTTTCTTCCTTCTCCAAATTGATGAGCGCTCTGATGAGCTCAGGTAGGTCCATGGGCTCTTCAGCTTGCAGGTCGTCAACGAGTAGGTTCAGACGCGCGTGTAAGAGATCAAGATCTTCGAGGAATATTTTTATTGTTATTCGGGTGTATCCAATGTCGTCAGTACCCTGATTCAAATGAAGAAAAATGAAGTCGCAATCTCTGCCAGGAGCAGCCGTTACTTCTGTAATGGTGTCGAGGTTAATGGTATACGTTATGACGAAGCCCATTTGATGGCCGTAGAAGTACATATTATCTGGAGTAACGTAGATTCGCCCGTTGCCAGCCATCTGGGGCACGTCACGGTCAGCTTCCGAGGTGCTAGTCCAAGAAGCTCTGAAGACCAAGACCAGCTTTTCATCTAGTGGTACACTCGGGAAAAGTAACCTGAACTGTGCTGAGTTGGTCTTCAGTTCTATGGGATAATCAGGAGAGAAAGCCTCCGGCGATGGTTTTTCTGGAGCGGGCAGGACGATTTTTGGATGGTTTATCTTGGCATCCATGCTGATAGCCTTCTTATGCGACGAAACCGGGCTTCTGAACTCTTCACCCTCGCCGAGTGTAGTCATCTTAATCGAGGGCGAGTTTGGTCCAAATGGATCGTCAACATCTTTGTCGGTTCGAGGAATCTTTGGGGAGTATTCATGACCCCAGGTGTTGCTTCCCCAATAATTAGCTACTATCGCCGTCGGCAAAGTATGCCATGCATTCGTATTCAGTACTCTGTCGCCGCTATACACAACAGCCGTCTTACTAAGATGGGTCGTTGCCGGTGGCTTCGCTAGTGTCGGAGGTGCAAGACTACCAGGTTGCGATTCGGGACCCGGTAAGACGAGTCCCGGTTGCTGTTGTTTGGAGGTAGTGGGAGGATAACCTGGTAGTAGACCGTGACTGGCGGATATCAGACTAGCTATACCCCCTGTCGGCGCTGGTGATGATAATGGCCCTGTATCCATGCTTGAGGTGAAAGTAGCTTTCCGATGAAGATCCAGCTTCTGCATGATCCTGGCTGCGTGTTCTCGACCACTCTCCCCTTCCTCACGGGCTAGCGACGTCACTGACCGCTTCGGAGGAGCTGTGGTGATATCAAAGCTGGGCCGGGGTACTAATCCAACCTCAGGAGCTGGTAGAGTTCCAGATCGCTCGACACCTGCCCCATCATCAATCTGGACATCCAAAGATTTGGCTGAGAATTCCGGAAGCGAAGGTGGTGTAATAGAGAAGGCTGGATCAACACCACCTGGAAGAGACGAGCTATCCCTAGTAACGCTTGCTTCGAAAGCCCTTTTCTTTGCGACGTCAAAAACCTCGAGCCACTCTATTAATTGAGCTTGCGTCTCGGCTTGGAGTAGTAGTGTCTGGTTCTTGGTTTTCACCTCGAAGCAGAACCGACGTTCCTCTCCTACGGCGGGCTTTACATTGCATAGAAGGACACCGATCTCGTCGCCTTGCAAGACACCCTGAGGGCTGTTTACGAGCCAGCCAAAGATACCTTCTCGGCAGTAATACCATCTTCGAATCCAGTTCGTTCGAGATGGCTTGCCTGTTATAGTCCGTAGGAACAGCCAGCCTTGTTTCTCCATTATCGCAGCGGACTGATCGGCCGTAGAGACGTTCATAGGCCCCCTAGATCCTAGGAATGGCACAGTCGATGCGCTATAGTCGTCGATCTCTCGTGACGGTTTAAATGCCGCTAGAGTACTCTCTCCGATATCGCGGCGCGATATCTGTAGCTCGCGTTTGAAAACGGGCTCGGAGAGTTCCATCTCCTTTGACCATCCTCTCACGCGATCCATCTCGTGACCATATTTCCCAAAGCTTCCTGCAGCGTCCCGGGACCTCTTCATATCGCGCCAGAGGTCGCAAGATATTCGCACGAGTAGCTTGTCAAGATTGAGGCGGAATTGAGGCGCGAAGAAGCAGAAGTCCATTGATGCCTTCAGATAAGCCTTACGAGTCTCGTATACGGAAAAGGCATCCTCTCGCAGCGAGGAGGGTTCCTTCGTCTTAGACTGACTTACGTACCGAGCCAACGTAGTATCGAAGATCTTCTGTGTTTGTTCTAATGCTCTTCTGGTCTCCTTAAAATTTCGCAAATCGCCTTGGAGAAATGCTCGAATCGGCTCGACCGACATTGTCTCCATTTTCCTAGCAGCATTCAAGACCTGCATCCACCACTCCCTCGATCCCTCACTGAACCTTTTAAGTGCCAATGCGGCATAGTCGTTATCGACCACATTAATATTCGGGGGCGGAATGACCTTGCTTAGATAGTTATTTATGGTTTCCTCCACGCCAAGCAACTCGTGGGATAGTTTAGCTGTTGTCCTAACATAGCCTTCTAACCATCGTTCGATCGCATCTACTTGTTCGGCAAAATACAGAGCAGAAGCCCGAAATGAGGGCGAATCGAGTCCGGCTTCGTGGAGGATAACAGGGACCGATGGACTCGGAGGTTTGGGGGGAGGAGGATGAGCTGCAGAGGATGGCGCTGTGGTGGCGGCGGTGGCCATTTTGACTGAAGCACCGAGCGAAGGTTTAAGGCTTGTGTACGAAGTACTACTATTGCATTTGAAGCTATCGATGTATGGTTATGGTTTAAATACCGTTTACCGTTTACCGTTTACCGTTACGTTGTGTACAATTTCGGACGATTCGTAAGGGAAGGGAAGCTAATCGATAGTTTCAGGTCCTCGTTGCTCCAAAGCTGCGTATAGGGGATGCGCTTTTGTCGCTTAACCGACGTTTGCCGCTTAATTGTCATGTAATGGTGTAATGGGCTTAGGGTGGCACTCGTTGCTATTTATCCCTTCGATTGCGAGACTTCGATTTCGAGAACATCTACTTTGTGGACAATGCCATAGGTATTAGCTTTAAGGGGTGATATGCATCAATTTGGTAGGCAACATGATTATGACGGGCATTAAAGAACAGTTCTTAGTCACAAGTTCTTGGGTCACAGAGCGCTACGTACTTATGTACCGCTGACATCAGAAAGTACCCACCCGAGCTAGAGCCTTCAATTTATAATCTCCGACTTATTTATGTTTATCGATAAGCTTAACGTCATACGCGGAAAGGCACCTGCTCCTATGATCTATCACTGGCACGCCACCTTCGCATCTTAGCACGGGTAGTGAAGCATTTGACCTTTCATACATACTTCATACATACATGTATCAAAAGTCATGATTATTACATCTGGTATTGCACCTAGCATCCCCCAAGTTACGCTTATATAGTATCATATATTATTATATATTATCACTCAATTTAGGCAATATGACTTTCGCGAAACCTATTATAAAGCCTGTTGAGTCTTGCTGCACCTGCGCAACTCTCCTCTGCGACGTTCCACGATATAGCGACTCGGAAAAGCCTCTACCGAAGGATCGCCTGTTAGAGTGTTGCCAAAGGGTAATATGTGGTAACTGTCGTAGTGTGCGTTGATCCCGTCTCTCTGCCTTGTCCCGACATTTCTAGACGAACTGACCATCGTGAGTAGAATAATCCTCGCTTTAATACCTATTGTCCCTATTGTCAAATTTCGTTAATAGACACGAAACTCCCGCCAGGTCTAAAAGACCCTCCTTCATACGAATCTTCGGTCGCAACCAGTTCATCAAAAAACACATTAGCTGCACCACCGCCGTATACGCCGTCCGCAACGCAAAAAGTCCCAAACCAATTAGACGCAAAGTCCGTCTCTTTTGATTCTCTCGACAAGCCGGCAGAAGATACCCTACACTTCTTAAATCATGAGCATGATACTATTTCCTCTCTTTCCCTCCGATACGGTGTCCCCGCATCGGTTCTTAGGCGCGCCAATAATATCACAAGTGATCACCTAATTCTAGGGCGACAGACTGTACTCATACCTGGAGAGTACTATAAGGGTGGCGTGAGCCTGTCGCCACGACCTATCGAGGGCGAAGAAGAAGAGGCGCGAAAATCTAAGATCCGGCGATGGATGGTGACGTGTAAGGTCCATGAATACGACGTTGCCGTCCTTTACTTGGAGCAGGCCGGCTATGATCTCGAAATGGCAACCGAAGCCTTCTTCGCCGATGAAGAGTGGGAACGGACACATCCAGTCGAGGCGGCGGGAAGAGGTAAAGGGATTGCGAGGCCAGCCAATAGGAGCTCGTATTGGAGAGGGCGTAGAGGATAGAGAAATAAAGATAAATATGGCTTGTGTTTGAAATTTTGGCGCTTCTGGATTATATAGGGATAAGTTTTAAACACAATTTCGTACCCTTGAGGATACTACGAGAAAGTTCGTAGGTTTAAATGGACATACTAACCATTCGATTAAGTGTTCCGCTATCCGGATTCCAGAAATTCATTTCGTAAATACAGTGTGCTCCTTATTACTCCAGGCGCCATTGCATTGCCCAGCCTTCCCTTATCAAAATGCCGACCGAGTTCGTACGTCCTAGTTGAATGTAAGCTTGGGATTCAATTCAAGGGTAGAAGAGTTTAGTAGATTTCACTTACAGATAGCTTTCTCTCGATCTCTCGGACCGAACGATCCAGCTCTCCTGCAATCATCTGCTTCTTATCATTAGGAAGCAATGTGAATCTTTCACATAGGTCGCCATCAATAACGCCTTTGACGGGAGCATAGTAACCCCGGTATATAAGGTGATCTCTTCCAGCAAGGGGTGGATCCTCACTTCGCATGTGCGATTCAAGGCTCTGGAAGAAATCCGCGTCTTCTCGACTAACAAAAGGGATAAATACGCCAATAGTCCCTTGTATCCCGCTCCAGAGAAGTACATCTTGTCCACCCACCACCAGGTTGGTCTTGCTTATACTGGTGGGCACATCCTGTGTGTAAAAATGGGCCATGAGACTCAAGCGGTGGTTTACGCCATGCAAATATTCCCTGGCGTGCTGTAGATGCGCACCGGTTCCGTCTTCGTCGGCCTCCTCACTTGCTTTTTGTGGACATCGTACAATCCAGATATTTCCGAATTTATCTCCACCAGCAACTGACTCATAATCTACCATAGTTGTGCAAGTTGTCCAGCGTGGTATTGTGTCGTCAGCGAACGGTATCAGTTTGTTACTCTCGTATTTATATACGACATACGTCACACCTTGCTGAACGTCACCAACGATAATACGACTGCCCTGAGTTTGTAAGGAGACAATGAGCTGTGGTGCGACCTCAGCTTGCGCCTTTCGAAGAAGTTGGCGAAGCCCAAGATCGTAGGCACGAAGGGTTTTGCCAATTCCTGCCAGTAGTCGACCTTGGAATTGCACTAGTGCCATGGGTGGTTCTTCTACCTTGGTCTTATGAATGAATTCGATCTCTTTGCCGTTGTCACGGAATCTGTAGACATGTATATATCCTGCGCTAAACTGACGGGGACTGACAATTAAGTCCTTCCCAGTACCAACCACGAGAAATGTCTCGTTGTCCTGACTCGCGAATGAGACCGCTGCCATACTAACGGCAGCTTCGTTGTCGGTCAATTCTAGCGTTTGCAGAACTCGCTTCTCCGTTAATGGATCCACGACGCTGATACAAGACGCCCATCTACCACGGCCTCTAGGATATCCGAACTCCTCGGGTGGCAGTACGGCGGCGTCGCCATTGACGACACCAGGGTCAGCCAGGAGTTGAGCACGTAGCTCAGGTGGCAACGTGTTATTGTCAGATTCGATAGTATAGAAATAGGGTTGATCGGGGTGTTTAGCGAGACGTCTTGGGGTATAGGTGAGTGGTATCGATTGTTGTAGTAGAGTGTCCCCCAACCTGTCGATAGAGAAGATTCTGCTACCGTTAGCATCTTGTCATTTTTTTATAGATCTCATATTTAGGTAGGAATTGTGTGAAGTTCAGTAGGAACAATTGGTATGCGTAAAGACCTCATAGCCTAGGCATCGGATCCCAGTTTCTCATCATTCTTCAGCTTGAATATAGAATAGGAAAATTCACTTACTTAAGATTTTGGCCTTGAATGCCCACCATACCTTCTTCGCACTGCTCGCTACTGAAATTCCATCCCCATTCCAAATCGCTGTAATCTAGAGGAGTCATCATAAAACCCTTCGTGATTGGGTCCGAGTAGCCCAACCAAGTTCTCGAGCTGAGAGCTAGGACGCAGGTACGGCCTTGGACTGAGGTCTGGAAGAGTCGTACAGCTTTAGGCCCAAGGAATTTCTGACGGGTATCAGTCAATTCTCCAGTCACCTCGTCTAGAACAGTCCGTAAATAGACGCCCGAATGCAAGCCAATGTGCAGGTATAAGGTTGAACCGCCTGATGCTGAGTCCTCCATAGACATTATAGAAAGTGAAGATGGGGCAGCAGTTAGCGCCTGCACAGATTTGCTCTCGAGGGTGGACTCCAGGTCCAGACTAAGGATTCGGACGGTGCAGTCATCACACCCAACAGCAAGGAATGAACTTCGCAAACGACCTTCGGGAACCTCACCCAAACTTAGGCAGGTAACAGTCCCGAACATCTCTTTCTTTTCGTCATATTCAGCCAAGGACCCATCATCGGCCATCTCGAAATAGACGATTTCACCCGAGCTTAACGCAACAGCAACTTGTCGTTCGTTGGTGGAAGCGGCAACAATTGATCGATGTTGTGGCGCTTCCCATTCATTTACTCGCCCTCGAACGATATGTCGGATACCTTTGGGATGTACCTGAACGAGGCCGTCATCGCCAAGTTGCTGAACGGCCAACGTTGAAACTGTTGAGAGGAAACCGGTATCAGTTACCTCCTCTACAGTCTCACCAATGCTAAGCACCAAAGTACCGTTGCTAAACGAGAGGACAATATAAGCGTCGTATTGATCGTCTCTGTTAAGCTTGGTAGTCCAAACAGCAGATGGGACTCCTGGGAGCTCCGAGGCTACTATTTCATTGACCTCTAGACCATGCTTCAGAGTCCTAAACGTGCTCCGCGCACCATTTCCGCAGATAGAGTAAATTTGTGGTGCATCATCACCGGTTAAGTTAGCCACCTTGCAATCAATAAGGGGATTCATTGAATCGATACTCTCAACCAGACTTAGATTTTCAGCCGGCCTAGGGTAGAAATAGGCGGGATTGTATGATGCCTGTGGGTCTGTCGGGAAGGCGTCGCTGGTGAACTCCAATTCATCGTCATCATCGCCTAGCTTCTCGAACTGGTAAAAGTGGTGGTTCCCAAATTCGCTGGCAACAAACAAGAAACCGCTCTTCAGAATGCAGAGGTTTGTAGAGACCGGGACGGTGTCGAAATACTTAATTTTGAGCCTTCGTACTTCTCCAGTTGCATTACCATCATCATCTTCAGCCATGTCAATAGTAACCTTGAAAAGGTCACCATCCTCCGTTTGTAGGAGAAAAAAGAATGCGCCTGCATTTCCCTTTAGTTTGTGCATGACACCGGAGACGATTGAACGCTTTCGCTGAGGATCTTCTGTTGCGCCTTTTCTTCTGGGAATCGGCACACGGAATGCTTCCTGGTTAGAGTGCCTATAGGTGACATTCTCTTCTCCACATACCAAAACACCGCTAGGCCCATCATTACCGCCGGGAACTTGGAACAGTATAGACGCAGTAGGATCAACTGGTTCATGCCATTTTCTGACAACATGATTTAACCCAAGGTCTAATTCGTAGTAGACTAACTGCGTCTCAATCTCAGTGAGAGCTTGGCCTGAAGGGTCTTGGTCTGCTTCGGAGTAATCGACCTCCAACGCTGCAAATACTGGGTTGGCGTAACCGACATCTAAAGCGACCATCGAGAGCACAATCGTTCCCGGTTTGTGCGCCTCTAGGGGCGAAGAAATAGTAAGCTCTGCCTGAGCATTTCGGTTCAGGACATAGACCAACTTGTTCTTTTCGATCGACGCGATGAGACAGGCACGACCTTTAGGGTCACAGGCTAGATACTGCCCAGGAACGACCCGGCGCACCCCAGACTTTCCAAAAGTTTCGAGCTTCTGTTGCTTGAAACGATTCTGTTGAGGGATATACTCGATTATTGCAATGCGTCCCGAATCAGTGGCAAGTATAATGTAGTCTGTGAGTAGAAAGGTTAGCAAAGCTCTAGCCAAACAATAATTCCTCGAGGGTCGAGATACCGCACCATATGTCGAGGCGGCAGTTCGAATGTTTCTATCGACCCAGCTTCAAAAATCACTAAGTGAAGCCTCACAAGTAAGGGGCGGATATAAGACTTACCCTTATTACTTCCCGCCAGGCGAAAGGCAGCAATGGACCTGATGATGCCAAAAACATCGTGAGAGAGAAGGGTAATGACTTTTCCTTGCGATGGCTCGGGACGTAGTAGCGTGAGTCGCGAACCTGAGGCTGTGATGATTTGCTGCTCCTTGGTGCCAGAGAATTGACCGAGAATAGCTTGAGTGATTGTGGTGGGAGGCTGGATAGTCAAAGAGTAAAGAAACATATTAGAAGTAGTCGCCATCTTCGCAGGAGATGCGCAGAAAGCCTGCGCGACTCTTCTAATATCTCTATCTCCTTTTCGTTAAAATATGAAACTTGTTTAGACAACTAAGTAACCTCCTGTAAAGGAAGCTCCAAAAAATTTCTGAAGTTGATGGAGCTTCAATCAAGCTAAAGAACTTGATTGGAGGCACTAAAAGTATTCAGTTCGCCAATAAGTTGACCCGTTTGTTAAAGCTCTTGCTCTAAGGTTGTGGGTCTTGAGACGGATTAACCGGATTATTCTTTATCCACACTGTTCACTGCGACACCTGCGCAGTGGACCTCTTGCACAAGGTACATAGAGGTAGGTACACAAATTTGGAGTGTGGAGAAACATCCCACTATAGGTAGGTACAAGGGTACATGAAAATAGATGCATCTTTCATGCCGTATATTTCTCGAGCTTAGAGCTATCCAGTCGCAAATTTATAACCACCATTGTATAGGCCATTACCAAGGAGGCTTTAACAATGGAGCCTTCAATGCGACTGGCGGCCTCTAATACTTGCCGGACGTGTATAAGGCTCTCCGCAGCCAATACAGCCCGTCCGCCTATGACAAGGTCATTCTCTAAAGCTACATCTTCACGCTCACTGCAAAAGGCCTGCTCTCCCAGTCCGACTATACATTCGCGGCGTCCTGTCCCGTCCGCTGAAGCTAGCAAGTGTCTCTCAAGACCTATATCTCTATTTGGCCGGCAGTCAAAAACAACAGTCGAGGACGATGTAGTTGCTCTAGGACCAGCCGCAACGTACGAGAACCAATCGAAACCTCCGGTCCTCCGCCCTGACGACCTTTTCCATTCCTTCACTAACTCGCCTATTCCCGAAATACGCCACCGTGCTGCTTTTATAAGGCAACACGCCCAT